CTCCCCACGTACTGGGAATAGCCATTTCCTGGTCCAGTGCTCTCCCCACGTACCGGGAATAGCCATTTCCTTGTACAGCGTGCTCCCCACGTACTGGGAATAGCCATTTCCTTGTACAGCGTGCTCCCCCCCTACGTATTGGGAATAGCCATTCCTACTGATCAATGCTGGGCACATCACGTGACTTGCCTCTTATGGCTCCAGTAGTCCACTAGTATCTGTGCCAAGTCGTCGGGACACCTTTCTCTACCATGCCACAGCCTGCGGCCATAAGGTCACTTCGTGACATTCACTAAGGATTGCATATCCCTTGCCTCGTGGACTGTCGAGGGCAACCTCTGTCGCATGCAGAAGCGGAGCTACACAATGCCAGTAGTTACGGGAACGCGCAGAGCGCAAAATGCAAGTTGCGCTAGTGTCACTATGGTTGACCGAGATTCCCATTTCGCGTGCGAGGCGAGGTAGAAAAACAAAGTTCGCTGGGGCATCGGAAAGACACTGAATGCACCATGGAAGGCTGTGGTCAAATTCTCCTTTGCACAACCGTTCTCCTTACAGCGAAAACGATCCCTAGAAGAGGGCCCGTTCCCATGACCTGTGGTTCTGGCTGACGTCGTTGGATGTCTTTCGAGGGCCCCTTTTTGGGCTCCAACATTCCCATTCACTTCCAGAGAAAACGGTTCTGTACTATACCATTCAAAGCTGCGGATTTGCCATTGCCTCCCAAATCGGTGACCTGTATGAGAGAAGGCAATGGCCTATTTCTCGTCCCCTCTGAAAGAGAGGACATCAGGGTCACGACAAATGAAGTCCTTGATACCTGCGGGACGATCGCCGCCGTCCATGCGAAAGATACCTCCTAAACTTCTGTCGCCACAGTCGCCCTCGAGTGATAATGTCTTCAGTATCCGCAGCTCATGCGACCTTGCAGGCTTTTGAAAAGCGAGATAAAAGAGAAGGAAGCGTCCCAAAAAAGAGTGGTGGGCGAAGAGCGAACGAGAATTTCGAGAAGCGCAAACGCAGTCTCCTTAGAAAATGCAATGAGACTGTTGAATTATATGACGCAGATCTATATATCGCTGTTCGCCGGAAGGGGAAGTGTACGGTGTATTCAAGTTGTTTCGTTTCCAGTTGGCCTCCTCGTCAAGAAGATATGGTGAGCTTTTACCCTCTACATCCTACATCCTAACTAAGAATATTGTAGGAAACTTACTATCCAGTCCCTATTGTGATGACTCCGGAAGATTTTCGAAGAGAGACTACGGACGACAAGGAAGCTAGCAGTTTGGGTGAGAAAGGTGGCTTCTTTGACGAGCCGACCTCGTCAAGGCCCGCCGCATGATCGTCGGTAGTCGGAGGGGGACTCAAAGGACCTTGAAAGCTGTCGGGTGTAGACAGGATGGAGGATGGTCAGCCTTGAGTGTTTGGATGAGCGGCACAGGTAATATCAGTTATCACACCAGCAACTTGAGTAGTGTTCTCAAAACCTCTCTTCCCTTCTATAGCAACACGTCCTGGAACATCAACCTCATCGTCAATGGTTTGGCCGACCAGAAGTCGGTGTCGACTTCCCAGATTGGCCATCTTGATTGTGTAGTGCTTCTGCAGTATCTTAATGCAGTGGTCGAGCGGGCTCACCCAAACCTGAGTCCATCTAGGCACATAGGCGAACGGTGGACGAGTCTCGGTCCCCAACCTTAGTTGCGTCTATCAGTGCTCGTGTCAAAGCCCGTGGAAAGAGGAATATGGGCACTTTTGTATGAGGGCAACAAGAGACTAAACTCAGGCATGTGAAAATCATATCATCGTCTCATGACTGGGCAACAACTTCCGACACCCATCCAGACTCCAAAGTCCGCCAAAGCGCCCAGAATGGGGTCCTGTGAGGTCCAGAAATGAGGAACCTTTGCGTAAGCCGGGCTCGGCAACCATTGATAGAGGTTCAAAGGTAGGTCAGCTGATTACACGGGTCCATTTACGGAAGGTTAAGCGTCAGCGTTGCGTTGTGGGACAAAGGTTTCTTAGAGCGGGAATGTCCTGCAGGCAACATCACGTGCCTAGCGGGGTGCCGAACGTGGCCCTTGCGGCTCTGCGAAAGACTAATTACTCATTTCCCGACTTTTCATTCGTCTCCATCCCCACTTGCAATGCCTGGTTCTGTTTCCGCGACTGGCCAGCCGCAATCATGCAGGCCTCATGGTTTTTTTCCGGTTGGAGACATGACATGTGTTAAAGTTTGACTGTGAAATGTGGCGTAAAGCTGGGTGCAGATTTGGGCCCCTCTCCATCGACGGCATTATGGGCACCTCGAATGCACATGAAAGACAATGGCCATTTAAGACAGGGTCCTACCGTGTGCCCACTGGGTGCGAGGCCATAGATCTCATTTCGAATAGTCCAGGAGCAGTATGTACTGTAGCAGGACAACACCAACGATGAGTTTTGGTAGAGGTTCGGCTCTTTCCCGCCTCATGAAAATGATACTAATATGAATTCCAGTCACTTGATCGGATGCTCTCTCATCTACACGATAATCCAGAATACGCATATGAATACTTTTGTCAACACAAGGATAAACGCGATTCGTTTATTTCTGCTTGCCAAAAAGTATTCAATGTCCAGCAAGGTCCTGGCTCAATCACCTTTGAGTGGAATGTTTCTGGGGAAACCGGGACCGCAACTACTCGATGGGAAATGCTTGAATCGGAAACAGCGTCGACAGTCGCTCCTGGTCCAAAAAAACGTCGAAAGACAGCCGAACTACCGGCTGAGCAAAACCCTTTCTTGTACTCATCTATTACATTTGACGGCTCACAGACGGGCTTGGCTGATCTGGCCAGGAAAGCACAATTGATCGGGAGTCAGGAGACCATTTTAGCTCTCAGAGTCTTTCTTGTGAATTTAAGACGTGACTTTGCAAATATCAAATCCTTCCACAGCTTCCTATGGGATTCGCTTGCTTCGTCGCCTCTCAATCGTGGGAGGACGATATGACTTTATGCAGACGCATTCACAAGCATCAGCCGAAATTCTCTACCTCAATACTCTCGCTTGAACCACCTTAGATGCAGCGCAATCAAGATGACAGGGACAACGCTGACAATCTCGCCCAATCCAGCATACTGTGGCGGAATCCGCGCGTTGACGAAGGCACCCGCGGCCAACAATATAGCGAACAAATTGTAGACAAATGACCAGGCGAAATTGAAGAAGATACGATGTAACGCCGCTTTCGACAGATCCAGTAGCACCAAAATCCCACCCAGGTATGGGCGCACAAGGACGACGTCGGCAGCAGTCTGCGCCACGTCGCTGCCACTGTTCATGTGCACGCCGATGTCAGCTTGAGCGAGCGCCACCGCGTCGTTAGTCCCGTCGCCGCAGAAGATCACAACTTTCTTCTCATCCGCCATCAGGTTCTTAAGATACACCTGTTTATCGCCAGGCGTGCATCTAGATCTCACATGGCTAGCCGGGATTCCCAGCTTAGCGGCAACAGCTTCGACGGCACCAGTATCATCGCCGCTGACTATCGAGATAGCGATGTTGCGCTTTTGAAGCTCAGTAACGACGGAATGGGAGTCTGGGCGGAGGCAGTCGGAGAGGCCGAAGACAGCGATGAGTTGGTCGTTTATTGCTACTCCGAAGACTGTGAGACCTTTGGCAAGGAGATCTTGGACCTCTGGGAGAGTCTCGGCTGAGAGCCAGCGGGTATTGCCGCCGCGAACGTTCGCGCCGTCAAAAGTGCCTTCCACGCCTTTACCGGTGACTGATTTGGAGTCCCCAATCTTAGCAGCATCAACACCATTTTCTTTGAGATAAGTTGATATTGCGGCGGAGACGGGGTGTTTGCTGTCGCAGGTCAAGCCGAGAGTGATGGATTCAACGAGGTCGTCCTTGTTGGAAAGATAGACTGCTTCTGCGACAGACAGTTCACCTTGAGTAAGGGTGCCGGTCTTATCGAAGACGACGTGGGAGACATTGCGGGCAGTCTCGATGGCCATTGCCGACTTGAAGACAACACCATGCTTTGCTGCGACGCCTCCAGCTATGACAACGACCATGGGAACGGCAAGGCCGATTGCGCAAGGACAGGAGACGATGAGGACCGAGATCGCGTATGTGATGGCGTTCACCACTGCACGGCCGCTGTCGTGGTGTCGGACAGAGATGCCAATGGCAACCCAGATCGCGAAGGTTACGATTGTGAGG